CCATGTCAGGCTATAATTATCCAAGTCATCCCATTTACCCTTTCTAAAAATTGGCATAACATTAGCTTTCTTCCAGTCTTTGGGAACTTGTCCAGTGCTGAAAGACTTATTGAAAATCAACATTACTGGACCAGTGAGCTCCTCAGCCAGCTCTTTTAAAACTCTTAGATGCAAGTTATCTGACCTGCTGATTTAAAAATGTCTAACTTTCATGGCTTTTGTTTACACCGTCCAGATATACTAGTGGAATAGAAAGAATGTTATAATCACCATATAATGAGACTATATAATCTGAAGAAGAAGATCTATTCTTAAGCACAGTAATGGAAGAGGCTGAAAACTCAAAAGATTGGCTAATTAAAATGTGCACAAATGGCACTTATATGTAAGACAGCACGTTTGTCACGGAGGTCACGGATTCCATGACTTTCTGGGACCTCCATGACTTCTGCAGCGGTTGGTGCGGCTGGCCCAGGGGCCACCTGAGCAGCTCAGGCAACTCCTGGGCCAGTTGCACTGGCTGCTGCTGGGGCAGTCTCAGGCCACGGCACCCCTCTCCCCCAGCAGCAGCAGGAGTTTGGGTGTAGGAGGGGGCTCAGGGCAGGGGGTTGGGGCATGGGACAGGGTAAGGGCTCTGGACGTCACTTACCTTTGGGGGGGGGTTCCCCGGAAGCAGCAACATCCCCTTCTCTCAGCTCTTAGGCGGAGGTGCAGCCAGGCACCTCTGCGCACTGCTTCCGGCCTGTAGGCACCGTCCCTGCGGAGCCGGCACTTGGGGCGGAGGCAGTGCACAGAGCTGCCTGGCCACACCTCTGCCTAGGAAATGAGGGAGGGGGATGTTGCTGCTTCCGGGGAGGCACAGAGCCAGGTAGGGAGCCTGCCAGCCCTGCCAACTCCCCCCCTCCCCAGCACCCGTGGTGCCCCTGGGCCGCCCCCCTCCCCAGCACCCACGGCACCCCTGGGCCACCCCCCCTCCCCCCACCAAGATTTAGTTAGGGGTATATCGGACAGGTCACGGGTCATGAATTTTTGTTTACTGCATGTGACCTATCCATGACTTTTACTAAAAATACCCGTGACTAAAATGTAGCCTTACTTATAGGACATACAGGATAGACACTGGGGCATAAGTAAATGTAGTAACAGAAACTGAAATAGAAAGACGTAAGCAGACCATAAAAGTGGAAGAGTCAAAAGTGTCTGTGAAAAACTATAATGGAGGAACAATTCCAGTGTTGGGAGAGTGCATGCTGACACTTAAATACAAAGGGAAGATGATAAAACAAGAGTTTGTGGTGGTACATAGAGGCAAGCAACCAGTCTTCGGCCTACACATGTGTAAGGGGCTTGGTCTCATTATGAGGATATATGCCACAGAGAGACAGAAGGACAATAAGAACTGGATATGAAAGTATTAATAGCATCATATAACGATGTATCCACAGGAAATGGGTGCCTTCCACTAACATACAAGATAAGGTTAAGAGAAGATACAGAGACAGTGGTATATGCTACATGAAAAGTTCCACAATTTTTAAGAAAGATACTAGAAGAAGAGATCACAGACTTTAAGGCCAGCAGGGACTATCATGATCATCTAGTTGGACCTCTTGCACATTCCAGGCCAGAGAACCTCACCCACCCACTCCTGTAATAGACCCCTAACTTCTGGCTGAGTTACTGAAATCCTCAAATAATGATTTAAAGACTTCAAGTCATAGAGAATCCACCATTTACTCTAGTTCAAACAAGCAAGTGACCTGTGCCCCATGCTCCAGAGGAATGTGAAAGACCCTCAGGATCTCTGCTAATCTGACCTGGGGGAAAATTCCTTCCCTACCACAAATATGGTGATCAGTTAGATCCTGAGCATGTTGGTGAGACCCACCAGCCAGACACCTGGGAAAGAATTCTCTGTAATAACTCAGAGCCCTCCCCATCTAGTGTCCCATCTCCAGCCGTTGGGGATTTTTGCTACTAGCAGTTGCAGATTGGTTACATGCCACTATAAGCAGTCCCATCATACGATCCCCTTCATAAACTTATCAGGCTCAGTATTTTTTTTACCCTCCTTCTCCCCCCCCACCGTTCCCCTTGGGAGGCTGTTACAGAACTTCACTCCTCTGATGGCTAGAAAACGTCATCTAATTTTAAGGCTAAACTTGTTGAAGGCCAGTTTATATCCATTTGTTCTTGTGTCAACACTGGCACTGAACTTAAATAACTCCTCTCCCTCCCTGGTGTTTATCCCTCAAATGTATTTATAGACCGCAAAGCTATCTCCCATCAGCCTTCGTTTGGTTAGGCTAAACAAGCCAAGCTCCTTGAGTCTCCTGTCATAAGGCAGGTTTTCCATTCGTTGGATAATCCTAGCAGCCCTTTTCTGCATCTCTGCATCTCATGGAAGATGGTATTATTTGGAGAATAGAAGACCATCAGATTGGGATCAGTCCTTAGAAATCATAGAAAAAAAAGGAGAGGGACCACAGCTGTGCATGGACCTTAAGGAGCTGAACAAAAACATAAAAAGAGAACATTTCTACTTGCCCACAAGAAGTAAAATATTGTCTGAGATGGCAGGAGCCAAATTCTTCAGCAAATTAGATGCATCATCAGGATTTTGGCAGATCCCCTTGGATACAGAGCTCCAAGATCATAGAATCATAGAATATTAGGGTTGGAAGAGACCTCAGGAGGTCATCTAGTCCAACCCCCTACTCAAAGCAGGACCAACACCAACTAAATCATCCCAGCCAAGGCTTTGTTAAGCCGGGCCTTAAAAACCTCTAAGGATGGAGATTCCACCACCTCCCCAGGTAACCCATTCCAGTGCTTCACCACCCTCCTAGTTAAACAATGTTTCCTAATATCCAACCTAGACTTCCCTCACTGGAACTTGAGACCATTGCTTTTTGTTCTGTCATCTGCCACCACAGACAACAGCCGAGCTCCAGCCTCTTTGGAACCCCCCCTCAGGTAGTTGAAGGCTGCTATCAAATCCCTCCTCACTCTTAATTTCTGCAGACTAAATAACCCCAGTTCCCTCAGCCTCTCCTCTTAAATCATGTGCCCCAGCCCCCTAATCATTTTCGTTGCCCTCCGCTGGACTCTCTCCGATTTGTCCACATCCCTTCTGTAGTGGGGGGACCAAAACTGGACACAATATTCTAGGTGTGGCCTCACCAGTGCCGAATAGAGGGGAATAATCACTTCCCTCGATCTGCTGGCAATGCTGCTACTAATACATCCCAATATGCTGTTAGCCTTCTTGGCAACAAGGGCACACTACTGACTCATATCCAGCTTCTCATCCACTGTAATCCCCAGATCCTTTTCTGCAGGACTGCTGCTTAGCCAGTCGGTTCCCAGCCTGTAGCGGTGCATGGGATTCTTTCTTCCTAAGTGCAGGACTCTGCACTTGTCCTTGTTAAACCTCATCAGATTTCTTTTGATCCAATCCTCCAATTTGTCTAGGTCACTCTGGACCCTATCCCTACCCTCCAACATATCTACCTCTTCCCTCAGCTTAGTGTCATCTGCAAACTTACTGACTTGTACTTTCAACACACCATTTGGTAGATACTGCTTCCTAAAACTTCCTTTCAGCATATGTTTGCCTGCAGAACATGAGTCAGGTGTGAGAGGCCCTAGGAGGTGTGAAAGTGTAGCCTGAGGGCACAATAATTTGGGCAGCACTGCTGTTGAATATCAGGAACAAGTGAAGAGAGTATTGGAAATTGTAAGAGCAAATAACCTTAAACTGAATTAAGGCAAATGTCAATTTCAAATCATGGAGATAACATACCTGGGAGGACAGAGTGACCTCAAAGGGAGTGTTGACCAATGAAACAAAGATTTGGACAATACTGAACATGTCAAGACCTGAAGATATAAATAATAATATGTGGAGATATACCTATCTCATAGAACTGGAAGGGACCCCAAAGGGTCATCAAGTCCAGCCCCCTGCCTTCACTAGCAGAGGCAAGTACTGATTTTGCTCCAGATCCCTAAGTGGACCCATCAAGGATTGAACTCACAACCCTGGCTTTAGCAAGCCAATGCTCAAACCACTGAGCTGTCCCTCCCCCATTAAAAAAGGGAATAAAAAGATAAAAAAGGGAATTCAAAGGCTGCTAGGAACTATGCCAGCAAGTTCATGCCTAACTATGTAGCTTCCACAACTCACCTAAGACACCTCCGCCACAAGGTCACTGAATGAGCATGGATGCCAGAACATGAAAGCCCATTCTGATATCAGCTCCAGTGCTGCAGTTTTTTGATCCATTGAAAGCATCAAACTCTCCACAGATGCCTTGAAAAGAGGGTGGGAGCAGTACTATTACAGTGTCATAGAACTGGTTGTGTCTCCTGTGCCTCAAGGGATATGACAGCTGCAGTGATTTTCTCAATGCTTCAAAGCAGAAACTGATCACAAACATGGCTACCCCTCTGAAACTACTGATTGCGATTCACAAAAGGAACTTTGCGAAGAACCACTGAGACTGGGGCTGCTTTCGAAAATACAGAATTATGTGTGGTAGAGCACCAGCTTTGCCTCGCGAGGTCCTGCACTTCTGGGCGGTTAGGGTTTGCCTCAGAGGTTTGTTGTGACCCTCAATGTAGCCTCTCTTCCCTCCTAGAGAGGAGGGTTACAGCTTACTGAGTCACCTTCATCATCGGCCAGTCAACGGGTTTGGTGTAAGAACCCTCTTTAGTCCCTGTCTTCCTTCTGCAGGAGGGGGCTCCCCGCCCACCCTACACCCCAGGCCCTCCGGACCTTTTCATCGGGCCCCTGCCCTGTGGCCCCACCCAGCCATCCCACCCCTTCACCGTGAGCTGGCTGAATGAACTGCAGCCAGCTCGTTTCCAGACCATGCCAAGGAAACATCTGTATACGCTCATGCTCCACACCCTTCATGTCCTGACCCTCACGTCCCGTCACGACATGGCGGGACCTCCTACCACCTCTGGAGAGTGAGGAACCCCGGTGGGCCAGCCTATATTCCACCCTGGTCCCGAAGCCTGTTGGGGATATTAGTTGGGGGCTCCTTCACGGAGCCGTGAGCACGGGCGTCTTCTTGGCGTGGTTGACCCCCGTGCTGGACACCTGCCACTTCTGCAGCATGAAGGAGACCCTGGCGCACGTGTATCTAGAGTGCACCAGGTTGCAGCCCCTATTCCGGCTCCTCTTAAACATCCTGTTACGTTTTTGGCTGCACTTTTCCCCTCACCTCCTTATCTATGCACTCCCTATCCATGGCCCCACCAAGTCGCGGGACCTCCTTGTCAACCTCCTCCTAGCACTGACCAAAATGGCCATCTACAAGACCAGAGAGAGGAGGTTGGCTGATGGGGTTTCCTGCGACTGCAGGGCCTATTTCTGATCCTCCATCCATTCATACGTCCAGGCGGAGTTCTTCTGGGTGGTGTTTGCTGGTTCCCTTGACACTTTCGAGGAGCAGTGGGCACTGTCCGGGGTTCTCTGCTCGGTGTCCCCATCAGGTTCCCTTCGTTTAGCCCTGTGACCTCACTCCTGTCCGTTATATCTTTAGTTGTCCTCCGTAATTAATTGAGATCCCGGACTTTCTAGATCCTCCCCTTAGGCTGGGGGAGGTCCTTTAGCAGTGGACTTCCACCCACCCACTTTCCAGATCCCAACAGGACCAGACTCCTGCACCCAACCGCTCTGGGTCTGTCACACATGTAACCTTTGAGTTCCAACCCAGACACCACATAGTAATGGCTAGGGCCCTACCAAATTCATGACCCATTTTGGTCAATTTCATGCTCATGTGATTTAAAAAATCATAAATTTCATGATCTCAGCTATTTAAATCTGAAATTTCATGGTGTTGTAATTGTAGGGATCCTGACCCAAAAAGGAATTGTGAAGGGGGGTTGTGGTACCCTACCCTTACTTCTGCACTGCTGCTGGCAGCGGCGCTGCCTTCAGAGCTGGACAGCTAGTGAGCGGTGGCTGCTGGCTCAGAGCCAAGCTCTGAAGGCAGAGCTGCTGCCAGCAGCAGTGCAGAAGTAAGGATGGCCTGGTATGGTATTACCACCCTTACTTCTGCGCTGCTGCCTGAAGAGCTGGGCCCTCAATCAGCGGCTGCCCAGCTCTGAAGGCAGCAGTGCAGAAGCAAGGTTGGTAATACTGTGACCCCCCTAAAATAACCTTGCGACCCCCCCCTGCAACTCCCTTTTGGGTCAGGACCCCCAAGTTAAGAAACACTTGTCTCCCCCGTGAAATCTGTAAAGTATAGGGTGAAAGCACACAAAAGACCAGATTTCACAGGGAGAAACCAGATTTCACAGTCCATGATGCATTTTTCATGGCCGTGAATTTGGTAGGGCCCTAGTAACGGCAGATGCACTCTCAAGAGCAAATGCTCTATCTGTCAATTCACAGGCTGATGATCTGGAACAAGGAATAAACATTCATGTGAATTCAGCTAAATGCTGCAGTGATACAAGAAGTAAAGGAGGAAAAAATCAGCACTGCACACTTGTATATTTCCACTGCAGAAATGAGTTGTCAGTGCTCTCAGGAGCGCCCTGAAAGGGGACACAGGTCATGGTTCCCACAGTGATGGGAAGGAGAATATTGAATCCAATACACGAAAAGCACCTGGGAATGACCAAACCAAAAAGGAGAGCTAGAGAAGTTGTATTCTGGTCACAAATGAGCAGTGACATTGAAGAGATGATGAGCAGGCGTGGAACATATCAGAAGTACAGAGATTCCCAGCAGAAAGAACCAATGATACTGCAAGAACAACTCGCAGTTCCACAGGACAAAGTCAGAATTGACACGTTCAGCCTGAAGACATGATCATCTGGTTATAATGGACTACTTTACCAAGTTCCCAGAAGTAGTCAGATTCGAAGATACCATCCTTGCAACAGTTTCCAGACTCATCATAGAATTCCATAACTAATAATAACTGACTGTTGTTAGTGCTGTGGAGTGTTGTTAAGGCTGCTAAGTTTTTAATGCTGCTAATGCGGCTGTTCTTGGAGCCCCAGTGTTAGCTGTATTAGCAGGGAGTGCAGCCTGCTGATTCAGCAGACCTCGATGTCAGAGGTGGATTATGGTTTGGTGGGGCCCTGGGCCAGAGCAAGTGGGGGCCCCTTCCCACCCCTTCTACCTGCAGTCCCCCCCCCACAACCCCTCAGTGCTCCTGCCAGGGAAATGGGGTCGGGGCACGGGGGCTTTCCCTGCTCAGATCGGCAGGAGTGCTCGGCAGAGCGGGGCAAGCCCCCACGCCCCGACCACGCTCCCCGGCAGAAGCACCGGGCAGGCGGAGCGGGTCAGTGCACAGGGGCACCCATTTTTCCAGGGTCCCCCAATTGGCCGGGGGCCCTGGGCACAGGCCCCATTTGCCCAGTAGCTAATCCGCCACTGCTCAATGTTATTCATAAGAAAGACCACAGGCTCAGTTTGGTGGCGAAGCTGCTTGGCCACATTTATTGTCCACAATCCCACAGTACTAGTGCTCCATAGGAGCTACAGATACACTAACATGTGTGCCTGTGACAATGGTACCAATTCAATCAGCACACCAGGATGCTGTCCCCTAGGACAGCACAAAGATGTCCCTCCTATGAGTTCTCCTGTTATACAGTGATACAAACAAGTTATGTATTACACTCCAGGTGTTGTTAGTTTCCATCCTTATCCTTGTACCTGCTAGTTCAAACAAAACATCCTCATCCATTATCCTATCATCCCCTCCTTATCTTTACAAATGTATTTAGTGAGTACTTTGCAGGCGAAGAGTACTAATTTAACAAATAAGTGCAAAAAACATAATGGATTTTATGTTTATAATGGGTACCTAGCTACCAGTTCTCTAAGGCTAGGTCTACACTACGGGGGGGGAGGAGGTGTTTGACCTAAGATACGCAACTTCAGCTACGCAAATAGCGTAGCTGAAGTTGCGTATTTTAGGTCGACTTACCTGGCTGTGAGGACGGCGGCGAGTCAACCGCTGCCGCTCCCCCGCCGACTCCGCTTCCGCCTCTCACTGCGGTGGAGTTCCGGAGTTGACGGCAGAGCGATCGGGGATCAATCGCTACCCGCCGATCCGGCGGGTAGTGAAGACGTGCCCTTAGTTTGTTAAAAGTCTGCTTTTCTGAAGTCCATTGTCCTTATTCCGCTGCTCTCACTCCTTCCTTTCCTTAAAACCATGAAATATATCACTTCATGATCACTTTCACCCAAATTGCCTTTCACCTTCAGATTCTCAACCAATTCCTCCCTGTTGGTCAGAATTAAGTCTAAAATGGTTGCGCCCCCCCTGAATTACTTCCTCCACTTTCTGAAACAAAAAGGTGTCCCCAACAATGTTCCCTCTAATTTTTTTCACCCATGTGTGGAATGAATTTTGTTATGTGCACCAATATTGAGATGATGTGCGCCACCAGTAGAAACAAAAAACCTAGATATAATATATATTTTTAAAAAGTTACCATAGGGATAATTATTGCAGCCAGGACAGGTTAGGCATTTTAGAACTCACTACTCAAAGAATTGAATTTAAACATGAGAGAGAAATAAAATTCTGAAATGCACAGACCAGTCAAAAACTAAAATAACAGCACTTTGAAAGAAGAAAATTATAGAGAATATATGTGCATTGCAGGAAGTACCCAGAAGTAACAATAACAACACAAGTATGTGTTGGGAGGTGAGTGTGAAAGAGACAGAGAGTATGTGTGTGTCAGACAGAGACTGTGTGTGTGTGTGTGAGAAAGAAACAGAGACAGTGTGTGTGTGCGTGAAACACAGACAGTGTGTATGTGTGCTGGCTGCTGGGAAAGTATATGAGAGACCGTGCGCTGTCTCTTTAAGGACACAGGCACTCACCAGCAGGCTTGTTCAGACCGCAGCAGCTACCACCAGCTCCCTTCCCTGAGCGCTGTCCCCCAACCCTGCTCTTCAGACAGGGCCGGCTCTAGGTTTTTTGCTGCCCCAAGCAAAACAATTTTTGGCTGCCCCCCCCCCCGGCTCTCTCTCTCCGCCCCCCCCCAACTGCACCCTCCTGCCGCCCCAGCCCTGGGTCACTGGTAACTCGCTCCCAGGGCGGATCATTCAGCAGGAATTTTGGATGTGCACAGAACACAGACAGGATTGGTTCCCATATGGTTACAGAACTGCAGTAAAGTGGAACAATTTTCAGCTTGTGTGATTGAAGGATATCTGGATGCATATTATAAGACTGTCCTACATAAATGAGGAAAAGTTGAGGTGCCTTTATTATTCTTTTGTTCCATTCTTTGTTTCTATGGGGAATTTGCCAATGCAATATTACTGTCTTCCTTTTAAACAACTAAAATTAAAAAAAAAAAAATAAAACAAAAAAAAACAATGGCTGTTGAAAATAGCAATTCCAGTCCTAATAACCACTGGGAAGCATTTCTTGCTCAATTTATTCTACTTTTTCTACAGCAAGTTACAGTGGATCAGTATATTTGATTTGGGGGAAATGAAGTAACAGCTGCCCAAATTGAGCTTGAGCACTCCTGAATTTTGAGGGTGTTCAAATCTGGAAGGCAGGTGCTAGATTCCCTTTCTGAATATTAGCTAAATCTGGAAAAGAAAAGTCAATTTCTGCTTCCATGGCTCAGAAGTGTAAATCCTCCTATGTGCCTGGTACTGTATCTAAAGCTGCCCAGGTCCTAGTAGAGCCTCCCCTCCCTTACTTTTCATTTTAAATTCTAGTGGGATCTCCCTTGCTAGGCTTCAGATAGAGAGGTGCACTGTCCATTTAGTCCACCCAATTCTTTCTTTGGGGGAGAGCCCAGGGCTGGGGTGGCAGGAGGTGCAGGTGGGGGCCAGAGCTGGGGCAGCAGGGGGTGCGGGGGGGGGGGGGGGGGGGGGGGGGGGGGGGGGCAGCAAAAAACCTAGAGCTGGCTCTGTCCCTACCATTCACAGGAAGCTGCAGCATGAGGTTTAAGTTCCACTCCTTCCCCCCCTCCCTTTCCTGTTAATTGCGGCCAAGGGAATGCTGGGAAATGTAGTTCTTTCCCTGCTCCAGGGCTGGCTCTATAGGCAGGGAGCTAACCAAGGAACTACAGCTCCCAGTGCCCCCTGTTGGTTCTCAGCTCCCATGCTGGATTCTTGCGCCCCTGCAAATTTGCCGCCCCAAGCAACTGCTTGCTTTGCTGGTGCCTAGAGCCAGCCCTGACCCCACCCCGACACTCCCACATCCTGGCTCCTCCCCCACATGCCTTCCAGCGCTATTACACCCCAGCCCTGGGAAGGACATGGCAGCAGGGGAACCCCCAGCAAGATGCCAACAAGGTAAAATTCTCCATGCATGGCAGGCCAAGTCCTGCTCGAAGGACGCCAAGGAGCCAGCCACGGTGGAGCCAGCTTCCACCCCTCTGCAAATAAGGGAGGGTTGGAGGGGGGCAGCTGTGGAGCAGCTTCCACCCCTGGGGACAGCCCCTCCAGGACTGGCCTCTGAGCTCTGCTAACCCCGCCTGCAAAGCCATTGTCCCTGCTGCAGCCCGGAGGCGGCCTGTACCTGTGTGTGTCTGGCCGCCGTCCATGGGATGGTGCTGTGAAGATGGCCCAGTGGGGTAGCCTCTGATGGACTCTGCTGGAGCCTGGTAGGGTGCAGCGGCAGGGGATGGGTTGGATGCCAGAGCAGCAGGGTGAGTGACGTCTAGAGACCCATAGGTGAGAGAGAAAGGGTCACATCAGAGAGCCAACGACAGTGCGGGCTCACGCACCAGCGCCCAGCTGCATCCCTGGTGGTTGGGGCAATAGCCACTGCAGCCAAGGCAGGCGTAGCGCCTCGACGGGACCCTCGCCCTGGGGAGGAAGCGGGTGACCCAAGCTCTCTAAAGCAGATGCAGAGAGAGGAGATCGGACGTAACACAGCCGCCGGGCCAGCCGGCGTCTCAGCATTCTCCATAGAACAGCCCCTTGCTGACCTGAATCTGAATGGGCTGCGGAAGTGGGGTGTTTCCTCGAATTCCTACGGCACCCCAGCACAGATGGGAGATGCCCACGCATGGCCAGAGCCTGCCTCACAGACACCCGCTTGCTGGTCACATTGGGAAGCCTGGGCATTGCGCCCAAAGAGGTTCTGTGTGGAACCCTGCAGCGGCTTCCTGGTGACCCTGGGCAAGCTGCTCGGAATCTCTGGGCTGGATCCTGATCCCAGTTACACTGGTGTAAACCTACAGCAATCCCCCTAGCTCCAGCAGAGCCACTTCGGAGTCGCACCAGAGTCCAAAGCAGGCCCTCCGTGCCTCAGTTTCATAATATGCAAAAAGGAGGCTACACGGCAGTACAGCTCTCTGCGGTGTGTATCTTTGATCTATGGGGCTTCCCTAGCTATGGGACAGGGGCCGGTGTTTCGGCTACGAAACCCCCACAGCTTGCCCCCATCCATCAACTCAGGCTGCGGGGCTCTAACTAGGGTGACCAGATCTCTCGATTTTATAGGGACAGTCCCGATTTTTGGGTCTCTCTCTTATATAGGCTCCTATTACCCCCCAACTCTTGTCCCAATTTTTCACACTTGCTGTCTGGTCACCCTACCTCTAACACTGCGGTGTAGAGGTCTGAGTGTGGGTGGGGTGGGCCCCAGGCCCCTCCCCACTTCTGGGGTTTCAATTTTACAGCCCCACAGCCTGAGGCCCATGGGCCGGCTGCGTGCGTCTGCAGCCTGGACATCCCCACTGGTACGCAGAGCGCAGCCCAAGGGGGCCCTGAGACACTGCTGTAATAGCCTGCATGGGCAGTGCAGGATCAGTCCCTTTCGGGGGAGGGGGGAGGAGTGAAGAGGGCTCAGCTATGCCCAATGGGGCATGGCTGTGACATCATCCAAGAGGCCCAGGCAATTGGGATGCAGCTGTGGGTAATCAGTGTCCCAGCAGCTCCTGCCAGGGAATTGGCCTGTCTAGGGGCTACCAGCCAAGTGCGCCAGCGGGGTGTGGCTTGTGAAGCCCTCTAACTGCCCTGCACAGTCCCTGCTGGTGTGCTTTAAAAGGTGCCTAGTGCATGCAGCCAGAGGCCCCTTTAACGCGCACTAAGTACCTTTTGGAGCGCACCAGCAGGGTCTAGGCAGGGCAGTCAGAGTGCAACACCTTTTAAAAGTCACACCCCTCTGGCCTGCTTTGCCATACCACATAGACAAGCCCCAAGAACCCCTCCATCCCCCTCGCTGGCTTTGCAACCGCTGACAGCCCACCCTGTCCAGTGCGCTCCCTCTCCTAGCGATACAAGTAACCCCTGAAATTCTGAGGACCAGACAAAACTAGCAGGGAGAGAGCCAGCTCTCCAGCCTTTCTGGGTCCCGCTCTCTGTCCACTCTGTGTCCTGCTGCACGATGGAGGCCAGGCTGGGCTCTCAGAGCAGGAGCGCACTGGCAATCAGTTCACTCAAGGTATTTAGCATGGTTGTAAAGGCTACTGGGGTTCCTCCCACAGCTCTAGCCAGCCTGCAAAGTTTGGTGGCTCCCTCAAGGTGTTAAGTACCTCGGGTTAATCATTGCCAGGTCCAGAAGCCACTGAAGACAAGTGCCACCTCCCTCCCCTCCCAGCCAGCTTCCCTGGTGTTTGGGGGCTCTTCACACAACCACCCAGGGGAGAAAAATAATATTCTTTTATAGGATAACATGGTTGAGTGGCAGGGGACTCTGGGGCAGGAGGCGGCCAGGGAACAGCTTCACACAGCCTCGATTCCAAGCCGGCAGCGCCCCGAGAATTCACAGATGTCTGACAGCACCTAAAGGTACTTCAGTGGGAGGAGCTGGAAGGGTCATTATGAGTGAGGTGGGTGCCCCCTGATTCTGAAGGCAGGTCTACACTTCACACACTGCATCGGTGCAGCTGTTGTGCTTACGTGAGAGAGCGCTCTCCCGTCGGCGTAGCTAATCCACCTCCCTGAGAGGCGGTAGCTGTGAGTGTTATTTTGCAGAGGCCAGTGGCAGACGGATTGGCTGGGATGGAAGTATCATGGGGCTGCCAGAGTCGAAGACTCATCTCCTGTGGGCTGGAGGTGAGCCCTGAGACACTGTGGGGAAGGGGCCCGGCTCGGGACACTAGAGACCAGTTCCCGTTGCGTGCCCTGGTCAGCCCTGAGAGCGCACAGAGGGCTCGGGGCAGCCTCCCCATTCTGCCAGCCCCTGCCTGGGCACAGTCCATAGGACACAGAAGCGCCCAGCTTTACCTGTGAGGTGCCGGGACGGCTGCTCGCCGCAATCCCCCTGGAGCTGGCTGTACTCGCTGGTGGCATCCCCGTCGGAGCAGGCCTCCGGGCCATCAGACAGGAAGGAGGCGCTGCTGTTGGAGCGGGGTGACTCGGAGAGCGCACGGCTGCTGGATGGGGTCTCGCAGCGCTCCTGAAGCTTGGCCTGAAGGGTCTCAATCATCCTCTCCTTCGCCCGGAGCTCCTTGCTCAGCCTGGGAGGGAGCATGTGTCAGCCCCACATCTACACGCGCGCACAGTTCACATGTTCAACGGTAGGGGTGGCCTCGCATGATGCACTGAGACCATGCGTTCCCCTACCCCATGCATTCCCGTGCCCCCTCTCTCTACAGGGTCTGATGGCCTTGTCTTTGGCACACCCAGCTTCCCACTCACTCTCAAGTATCCAAGCCATCCGCCCACATGGGCCCCTTCCTGCTCTCATGAGGGTGTTCCTCACTACAAAGACCCCCGCACACTGATATGAAAGTCTTCAGATGCCCTGTCCCAGGCTCCTGGGCATGGCCGGGCCCCCGCATGCAGGGGCGCAAAGGAGACAGCCTTGCAGGTATTAGCCTACGTGCCACTAGCCAATGTCTCCCCTGGGCTGGGATCGGGCTCCGCTGGCCTCTTTGCTCAGTTTTACGGGGCTAGTAGAGGAGAGGCAGCCTAGCACAGCTGGAGAGCCCTGGGAGGCCCTTGGACTCCCCTTTGCCAGCAGCCGGTCAGCAAAGAAGAGGCCGGTGCCCTTTGCTCTGCAAGGCAGCCTGAGCCCCGTGCAGTGCGGCAGGCACCCTGCCCGAGCAGACATCCCAGGGCTCCCTGGAATCACCCGTGTGGTTACCTGAGCGCCACGAATTCGTGTCCGGTTTTATCCTCCACGTCAGAGCGATCCCCTGAAAGCAAAGCCAGAGGGGTCTTGTCAGGCAGGGCTTTGGAGCTGTGCTCTGGCTCCGCTCCAGCGCCAGGCAAAAACCTGCAACTCCACTGCTCCGCGCTCCAGCTCCGGGCTCTGCTCCAAAGCCCTGTCGGGGCGCAGGGCGGCACAGCGCCAGCTCCCCTTGGGCCCCCATGCCAGAGCACAGCACCCTCCATTCTGTGACACCGAGAGACCATACCCCCCCCCCCCCCCGCCGAGAACCCACCCCCCCCCCCCCCCCCCCCCCCCCACGGCGCTCCCCCCCCCCCCCCCCCCACTGAGAGACCACTGAGAGCACAGGCCCCCTGTCACTGAGAGACCACTGACAGACCCCGGGTCCCCTCCCCCATGCAGTACCCCCAGACTAAATTGCCCCTGCTCCAGTCCCAGTCCTCAAGCTGTTCCCACCTGCTCCGGAGGGGGCAGCCATCCTGGGAGGAGTGGTCATGCAGCTACGCTAGGCCAGGGCAGCGCTCTCCATGCCTGGGGGTAACCCCCATCTCTGTGGGACCCTGGCCCCCAGCCAGCTCTCAGCGCAAGGTGGAGCCATCTCAGGGCCTCACCCTCCAGCTCTGCCCAGCAACACCCTGACACGCGTCAGGTGCTGGAGAGATACAAAGGGACCTTCCCTAGCATGTGCAGGGAAATGCTGTTGTCAGCCAACCAGCAAAGACAGCAATTGCCAGAGGAGGGCAGATGGGGCTAGCGCAGTCTCTGACCATGGGGCACACTAGCTGCTGCAGTGGGCAATTATGGGATCACCGGCCCTTGAGGGACTTTCCTTCCAACCACGGTCATTCCCCAAGGTAGGCAAGCCTACGTCCCCTCTCATGTAGTATTAAGATTAGCCCTGTAGCTGCAGCTGTTCTCTCTCCATATAAACATTCATCCTTTGGGGAATCCTCCTAAGCCCCTGGCCTCAATGAGATCTAGTGGCGGTGAGTTCCATCAGCCAGTGGTGCCAGGGCCGGTGCTACCATTTAGGCAAACTAGGCGGTTGCCTAGGGCGCCAAGGTTTGTGGGCGCCAAAAAGCGGTGCCCCCAATTTTTTTTTTTACAGCGTTCCTACGCCCCCTCCCTGAGCGCGCGGTCGCTGCTCCACTTCTCCCGCCTCCCAGGCTTGCAGCGCCAATCAGCTGTTTGGCGCCGCAAGCCTGGGAGGGGAGGAGAATTAGAGCGTGGGCGGTGTGCTTGGGGAGGAGGCGGAGCAGAGGTGAGCTGGGGTGGGGAG